GTGAATGTTCGCTCTCACGACGAAAGGCGTCCCAGTTTGTGATGCGTGCTTCTCCAATAGACCGACGCGCTGCGCTCTCTGTAACTTTTGTGCGGAGAATGAAGTGGTCGCTGCCCAAGGATTCCTGCAGGCTGTCCCAGTTATAGTTTGCACGGCCACGGGCGAAGATGAGATTGGGGCAAGTGTCCCTGCACACACTGTTGCCAATCCGGGTAGAGAACGCGGGATCCGTAAGCAGTTCAAGCTGAAATTTTTCAGTGGTAGCCGCAAGCTGTTTGCCTTTGACATCCGAACGGTTGTAACCCCAGCGTTCGTTGAGAGCGTTGAAGTCGCCGAGCAGTAAGAGTTCTTTTCCCTGGGCCAATCTGCAGGCGCCTTGGACGAGGGCATGGAAATCAGTGGTTTTTTGCTTTGGGGCGCTATATACGTTGACAATGATAATACTTCGCTTTTCTGCTTTTTTTTTGCCTGAGAACTAGCTCCACAATCACATGTTCTATGTTGGTGTCTGGGATGTTGTCTAAGCCAACTGCGGTTAGCGCTTTGTCAATCAGGATGGCCGCTTTGCCCTTTGTTTGACTATTATAGGACTCATAACCTGAAAATATGGGTGGCGTTCCGGGCTCCTGAAACGCTATGACACCTGGCCGAGCAAGGTGTGTGTTAATGTACTGTTGGAGGAGGCTCCGCTTTCCGCGGAAGCCGCGGCAGTTCCATTGCCAGACTTCTGAATGTTCGCCAATGAGTGGGGCTGTGCTGCCCATGGTTAATTCGTTGAGTGTAAAGGCGTGGGTATCGGAATCTCGGCTTGCGACGGCGATGTAGAAGTGAGGGTGAGGGCGCTGGGTGTCAATGCGGGGGTAGCGAGGAGTTCGGATGCATGTGATTCCAATCCTAGTCTATGGTACCCTTGATCTGTCGTGGCGTGTGAGCTACGAGTGGCCCTATTCCTGCGTATGTTTTCGCCTGTTTCAGCAATTTGCGCCTCGAAGCGTGTCTCGAGAGAGTCGAGGCGTTCTCCGAACTGCGTGAATACGGTACTGAATTGTTGCGATTGCCGCTGCGCGAGCATTGAGAGAATTTCGCGTAACTATTCGTGTCTGACTGTGGTGCCCGACGCAGCAGGAATTGATAGTGCCGTTTTAGGGATTTGCTGTCTCTTGTGGGAGGTTGGGTTTTTTTTCCGGGGGAGTCGGGCGGCGATCCAAGACGCGCCATTAGGGCATGAAGTTGAGAACTTTCCTTGGCTTGACGTGCTCTGACGGCCGCCAGCTCCTGTTTGAGTTTTATGTTTTCCGCGAGAAGGTGTTCGTATGCGGTGGACAGGGTATTGAGTGGAGCGATGGGAGGATCTACATTTGCTGACCAGCTCACCTTATTGTCGGCACCGGCTGATGGAGTGGTATTGGGCTTCTCATTATGTTTGCTGGAGGCGTGCTGGGACTGTTGACGGGCGGGTTGCTGCTGCTGCTGCTGCCCCTTGGTCATCTGGTTCTTCGGATGCTGTGGTTGCTGCTGTTGGCCAGGTTCCACAGAAGGGAGGGGCGGGAAGGACTGTTACTTCGAGCGGGAGTGGGAGTGGCTGCATGAGGTCTCGTTTTCCTTGCTGAACCACCTGCGTTTGGGAGTGGGTGGGTTACGATGGGGGTTGCGGCCCCTGGCTGGTGCTGCTGGTTGAGGAGGTGGCCGTGGGCGCGGGGCCTTCAGTCTCTGAGAGCACTCTTTGGCGCCCGTTAAGTGGGCATCTCCACACAAGTGACATTTGGGAGCACAGGGGTGACCGTCAACGGAGTTGAGGATACCACACTGCCGACACACGGGAGTGTTTGGCGTGGGGCATACGTCTGAGCGGTGCCCCGGTTGTAAGCAGACTTGGCAGGCTTGTCGCGTCGGCTTGTACGGGTGGCAGGCCACCTCCCCACCGTAATGCAGTACATATCAGGGCAGAAGGGGGCCCTCAAAAGTGATAACGGCTGATTTGGTAGCACCATGCATTCGTGCACTGTGCACTGTCACTCCCTGCCTGCGCACGCGGAGGTTGGCGGTGAGTTCTTCCGGAGTTGTGCCAGGGTCTATCCCATGAATAACTCCCCGCAAGGTGCCCTCAGGGGCCGCCACATAGGTATTCGTAGGTTTTCCTCTCAAGCGTGAGGGTGGTGATCCGACGAAAAATTTCAGCCGTCTCAACATCTGGCGTGCCGGCAATAATGATGTTCGACCCGGGGCGAGTACGTATAATGAAATGATCACCAGTATAATGTTGTCGAGAATCGCCCGCCACTGCTACGGCTCGGGAGATTTGATACGTAGTGAAGTTCTGAATGGCCAGGCCCTTTTTCGGGCGCATGATGATCTTTATGTCTATGCGTGGAAGCGGCGGCGGCTTCCGTGGTAACTGGCGCGGCTTCGTTACGGGTGGTGGTGTTCGCGCCGGTGCGACGCCGGCCGCGTCTGCTTGCGCAGCAGGAGTGCTCGCAGCCGCAGCTTCCCCGGCGTTGACGTGGCTGGGCGGAGTCCTTGCAGGACCGGCCGGCTGCATCAATTCCGCTCGAGCTTTGTCGAATGTTTTCTGGCGTTGACGCTGGCGACGGGAAATCGCGAGTGTCCAGTTGGCGTCGGTGTCGCTCGCCGGTCCCAGCGATGCAGACGATATGGGATGGTGCACGGCAACTTCATCTTCGCTTGCCGAAGTGAGCTCGTCGAGGTCGAGAGATTTCGTGTTAACATTGATGTCATTGGGGCTGAATGCAGGTTGAAGGCATCTGGTAGTAGTCACGTCAGCAGTTGGCGTAAGGCTAGCGGCCATATTGTTGTGGAAGGGGTCCCGCCGTTAGGCCTAGTCACCCGTGCTCGCACAGGCGAGCTGGGTCGACGCTTAGGCCCAGCAGCTCAGCGCTCACATGGGTTCTTCCGAAGGCGATAGAGAAAAATGAAGATGCTCTACAGCCTCGGGAAGGGTGTGCGGTTCCCAGGACAGTTAAAACTTGATCATCCGACACAGTGCCGGCGAAGATATCGGAGTAATCCGGTCAACGAGAGCACACGTTCGGCGGAGCGTATGCGACGCGCGTCCGCTTGCTCCGGCGTCCCTCGCTGTGCCCAGCGTGCGTGCGCGTCAACGCTACATTGGATTATATTGGGCCCTTCATGATGTGCTCGCAGCCGTTTCGCTAACTCCACATATACCAAATGTGGTGTTACGTGACGTCAATGGATGACAAAAGTATATGACTGGTACTAACATGATAATGCTGACAAGCGTGTCATTAAAGAAAATGACAACATACCACGCTAATAGCGTGTTCGCGGTCGTTTTGCTAGCTCCAAATACATTAAATTTGGCATGACGTGACGAGAATAGATGAAGAAGGTAAACGACACATCCAAACATGATAATCATGACACGTCATTCATGTAATGCATCATTTACCTCCACCTCCTAACATTGTGCTGATTTTAGGGTGACATATTAACCTTCCTCATTCTTGCTTTTCATATAATTGATTCCCACCATACGTGGGATCTGTCATTGTTTTTTGCATCACTAGTGTTGACGTCTGGAATGGCCATTTTTCGCGCTTGAGAAGGCATCAAAGGTTTTCGTCTTACAAAAAGACTAAAAATATAAATTGAGGGTTTAATTGCAAATATACTCCCGACGTAATTGTCCTTGGTGCCGCGATGTACGTTGATGAAATGCCATTACCGCATCTATAAAGATTTCAAACAATCGTGTTGAACATATAATGACCCTTTAAAGTCCCGTCGATGCACCGCCGTGCTGGTATAGTAGCTAAGGTACTCGGTGGCTGACCCGCAGGTCGCGGGATCGAATCCCGACGGCCGTGGATGCATTTTCGAAGGAGGCGAAAATGCTGTAGGCCCGTGTGCTCAAATTTGGGCGCACGTTAAAGAACCCGAGGTGGTCAAAAATTCTGAAGCCCTCCACTAGGGTGTCTCTCATAATCATATGGTGGTGTTGGGACATTAAACCCCACAAATTATTCAAAAGTTCTGTCGATATCGCTTGCAGTAGCCATATGATGTATGCAAAGCGATTTACCAGTGAAGCCTGATACTGCGCTGACCAATGAATACGCAAGGGCGTGCTGTGATACCAAATGTGGAACACAAAAACTGAATGCTTTTTTGAAGTTCGAAGTGCAACATCGCCTTCAATAGCTCATCTTAAATGAAATGAAATGAGTAAGAATGTCATTTAGCCCCGCTGGCTCAAACTTTCGATGAGGCTCGTTTCAATTAGTCCACAAAGGGAACTTGCGACCGAATTCAGAGCACTATGTCGAGCTTCTCGATTCAAATGTCGCACTGGCTACATCGCAATGCTGAACGCCAATGTTGATAATTGATACTAAAGAATTGAGCTTATTCTTCACCGTAAGTGCTGTCATTAGCGAGGAGGCATGGGGTGGCTTTTCAATTGCCTTTGTGGGAGTCACGATTGCTTACCTTTAGAAGAACGGCTGGAAGAGAAAATGCTCGACGTTCGTAAATAGCAAGAAGCGTGAAAGACGGACTCAATGGCATACAATTCAAAACCGCCGCTTGAAATAATGTGTCTCTAGCTCGGTGTCAAATAATAAAGCGTACACGGCTTACACTTTGCTGCAAAAGAGTAGAAGTGACGCTCCATACTGGAGCTTGCCACACTATAGGGTCACCTTTTGTTCTACAATGACACTTGTACGCCAAGTGTGCTACATCTCCTGCCCGAGAAAGAAAGATAAGGAAAGAGAAAAAAAAAGCCTCATCAGTTTGACATCAACTTTCATTCGTACGTTCCGTGCACCTGCACAGGACTCGATACATCTCACTGGCGACGTTTGGGAAACGGGCAGTTTCGAATAGACTACATCATTTGTTTTCTTGCTTCTCAATAGACGCATCGTGTTTCCCCTTATTTATAGAGCGAGCTGTGCTACCTGAACTGCACTTCGGTAAGCTAGAGTTACGAAACTGTCACCATACCTTTTTTTTGAAATCTCTGGCCACGTACGACATGACATTTCCCAGCGGTATGGTATGTTTGCCGTAGCGTCGCTATATTATCGTGCACAGACTCACCGTCATCACCCCCGTGCAGCAAGCGTCCACTTCTCAACAGGAGACATCAACTCACGCAGGTCAACAATGCTCCTACGACTTGTTCCAGTTGCGCTGGTGATCGTAGTTACCAGCATCGGTTTCAGTGACACGCACTTGGTTGAGGTACCCGAATCATCCTACCCCCGGTACATGCATTTAGCGGTACGGTTGACCCGCTTGAAGTCGTTGAGTCGACGACCTGCCTTGTACCTGCTGGGTCTGAGGAAGGTTGTATGGCCGGTGAGTGAACTTCAAGTCTGCGCCATCATCAATACGTCTTAATTACGTCAAATAGGGTAGAAGCATCTCCCATGCTTTGCCAACAAAGCCGAGCGTGGGCTTGCAATGACTGTGTTATCCAGGCGCACTTCCTAATCTTATATGCCCACCTAACTTTCTGACTTTAACCGGCGCATCACCCAATGCGCACCTAGGATTGCCAACAGTCCCGGATTTTGCAGGGCTGCATGACTTTAGATACCACGTCTCGAGCCCCGCGCTGTCACTGTAGAGACAGATGTATGTACCAGATTCATTCCAGACCACCTATTTGGAAACATAAGATTCAGCGCACGGCCGACGGCTGGCGTTACGCTGTGGAACATGAAGTTCACACGAATCACACGTACAAAACAATGTTGTGCTGGCTAGCTGTGGCTGCGATAGGCTTTAGCCATTTAGTTGAACTTATGAATGAAGTGCAACAACCTTTGCGAGTACACTCTTCTGCAAGAAGAACCGTTGCGAGCAGTGCCTAGCCAGTTGAGGTGGCTGAAGTACCACTTCACGAGGCCGCAGCAGTTAGGAAGCGACGGATTCGTCTAGAATACGCTGCAGTAGAGGAATGTGCTTTCGCTCGCTCCGTAGGTTAGTGTACGCCCCCCCCCCCCTTCTCATCCTGTCCTAATTGCCTTAATTGAAGAGTTGGTAACCACAGCACTCGCCCCAGCAGCAGGCTAATGCACATTGTACGGCTTGCCTGCAAAGACGGAGTCACCAAGCTGCGCGCATTTGGGCAAATGCGTGGCTGGCGTGCTGCTCATACTGCCCACTGTACTTTCAGACGTCAGTCTCTGATGCGGATAGCACAGCGTGTGTTCTCGCGTTAACTTGGCAAGAACAAAACTCTTGTGCCAACTCGATGCTTCTCGAAAAGTTGTTAAATCACTTAATCAATCGCTTTCGGTCTCCGAATTCATAAAACAACTGCCTCAACTTTTAATGTTTCTTGAGACTTATTGGCTTGACTGTACCGAAATTGCTTTATCTCACACAATGCCTCAGTCTTGCCTAAATTATATGCTGTAAAATCTGTAATCTTTCATACCGAAGCCGTAGGCCTTCCTTAAGATCAAACATTAGTACATAGACATACAAATAAAGAACTGGTGTGTTCTGTAATGGATATAGGTGTACATTTTACGAATACTATGCAATGGGATGACCACGTAAGCTCGATACTCCAAAAAGTTGCCGCGTAATAAGTGTTTCAAGTCTTTACCGATACACTTTCCCAGTTACTGTAATATTGCTAATTTATAATGCTTTATTTGTATCGCATGTTCATTACAGGCATCTAGTATGGGGCACGTGCCATGACTGAGTTTAATTTAAATTATTTCGCATGCAGAAGAAAATATTGCGTGTCGTTGGTAATGTACAGTATCTGGCTATTACTGAAAACCTGTTTGAAAAATACAACATAACTAAAGTTCATAACATCTACGAACCTAGTCTCTTGCGCGAATAGCGTTTTAGTGCTAAACGTAACACTACCTTATTGCAAGAACTTCCATACCATTCTGGCAATGCACACCGTTATAGCACTGTGCACCAGAAGTGTGGAAGTGTCCGAACTTTAGAACGTGCTATGCTTACCAAACAAAATGCTAGGTAACAATCCCCATAGACTCGTTAACTCATACGACAAAGCAGGCTATCATATACAGCACTGGACGTTGCCAGCTTTTAAAATGTTAATGCACTCCATTTTCTCGAGTGTTTCCTGGGAGTTTTTAATGAGAGATATGTTTTTGCTAGTTTTCTTGCACATGTTAGGAGGTACGTATATATTTTGTTCCCGCTTTATCCGAGTAGTGTAATCTATTGTGCAAATGTTTATCTTTGAGGCTGTTTTCCTTTTTTTCTTCTATTCATTGTATATAACTGCCATACTGTATGGTCACTGCATTAGTGTATTGTGCAGAGTGTAACATGTGTTTTACTATAAGTAATCATACTGTGCAAAGGGGGTGAGGTCTTCTCCAGGCCGCGTTCTGGTGGTATTTTTGCCTCATCCACCTCCATTTCCCACATTGTTGCACTTGTGTGTAAATGAGAATCAATCAAAACAAATCAAATCAAAAGTACCGTCATAAATGTTTGTCAATTATCTACAGGCACAATAACTTTATACTAGTCATTCAGATGTATGCTGCTTTAGCTTGAAAAAAATGTGTTTTTTTGAACTAAATGTCATAAAATTTGAGACTATTTGTGTCGCCCAAATAAAAACAGCCTACTTATTTACATATTGTATACCATTTCATTCGAATCACGTAACTCGATGGTTGCTATGAATATTTATATGGTCATATATCATGTGACATAACCGGCAAGAATGTTATATTATTTTTAACTGCAATCGCATCTGTAGCATTAAAGCTTAAGGAAGTCCAGCCATTGTCCCCAGTCTTCAAGAACTTATTGAAAATAAAGTCGCTTGAGCTTACCATAGCTTTCTTTACGACACAGTTATTTTATGACCACACTATATGCTTCAACAGTTTGATTATCACCCTGAAGTAGGCATTCCATTCTGTAAAACCTGAAGGTTCGTTCTCTTCTGCGCACACCAAAGGATTACCTGTTGTTACGAACAGATATATTGTTGTATCATCTTTCAGGTCATCCATATCTACAAAACTTTTTTCCTGTTTCTGTCTCATTTTATTGTGTAGTCTGTTCGTGTGCGTCTTACCGACGTCACCACCGTGACGGAAATGACGTTAGTGAAGCTTGGTGATGCCAGCACAAAACTCTCTCGTGCTGAAAGATGGACTACAACGAAAACGTTAAACTACATGACAAAGAGTTCTGATGGCGATTGGCCCACGCCGTGGCATAAACTATGTTTGATTCGCCCCCAGAAGGAAAACGCAACGCATAACAAGACTACACCGTGTGATTTTAAATAGATAATACTTGCTTTCAAATAGACTCGAGCGTCGACATCATGCACCGTGAAAGGCTATCGCCGCGTTAGGAAGTCAGGCCTTTATCGGTTTGTTGCTACACGACAATCAGATAATTCCCGAGAATCCACAAAATTCCTTAACCTTCATTTTATGAGTACATAATAATGCCGGCGTCGTTTACCATAGCTCATTTATTTTTCCTTTTTGTTTTCAGAATAACAATGGTGATCGAGTGGTGATTACCATCGAAGTGACCGACTCAACCTGCCAAAGCTGGCCGGTGAATTCATGGAACTGCAAGCCTCAGGTTAACTCGGTAAGTGGAAAGCTTAAGTAGCCTTACGTTTCGTCAATAAAAATCGTTTCGGATCAGTATCTGGAATATATATATATATATATATATATATATATATATATATATATATATATATATATATATATATATGTGTGTGTGTGTGTGTGTGTGTGTGTGTATGTTTGTCTGTGTGTGTCATCGCTGGAAGTGTGTATTAGGTTAGTGTTTGTATGCACACCACACAAAAATGTTCGTACTTATTTTTTTTTCAATTTTTTTTTACCAAGGCGCCTGATATGTTTCTTTAAAATTTTCCAACTAGTTAACCGTAAGGAATCTATTCAACTTCTTCAGTTACATTATTCAAAAGAAAGAAAGATACCAACCCCGATCCCGCTCGAAATCCCGACGTATTTTTTTATTGTAAGGTTCCTCAACAGAACTTACTTGGGAGGCTCAGTGAACTTATAAGGAGCTCGCTGCCAAAATCTGTGATTTTTTTCTTCACACTGTAGCATGAGAATATCCGTACCGTCTCAATGATTCGAGAGCTACCTGTCGTCTAAGTATTCCAGATGTCTGCCGAACCGTCTCTTTTCTGAACGTTCAGAGTCCACACAGAAACGCCGTATTGTCTCTGGCTTCAGGGTAGTCTATAAGCGTTGCTGAAGAAAATATTTTTCCTTGTCAGCTTCAGCGTGATCCGAAAATTATAAGTATATACGTTCGTACAGAGTCTGTGTGTTTTTTTTTCCCGTCGCAGCCCCTTTATACCTGCATAGGGTTGGCACAAGTGAAAAAAGGGCTGAAGCTCGTTAAGTTTTGGCGCTCAAAGTGCTGGTGAGTGTTTATAATTACGCTCAACGTGCCTGGCAATTATATCGTGGTGATGTTCTTTTATTTGTACAAGAATGTCTGTCGAGCTTTAAACATTGTGTTGTAAATCATTCATCTGCGTATCAAACGTATGTCTTTACTTTTCCTCCAAAATGTTTACTGTTGATTGATAGATACGTGGGGTTTAACGTCCCGAATCCACAATATGATTATAAAAGACGCTGTAGCGAAGGGCTCCGGAAATTTCGACCACCCGGGGTTCTTTAACGTGCCCCCAAATCTGAGCACATGGGCCTACATCGTTTTCGCCTTCACCGAAAATCAAGCCGCCGCAGCCGGTATTCGATGCCGCGACCTGCTGGTCTGCAGCCGAGTACCTTAGCCACTAGACCGTCGCGGCGGGGCCAAAATGTTTACTGTTCTCGTGCTGCCATGTACAACGCCTCTTCGACCCACTCAAGCTGCTGACGGAAGCTTTTAGCCCCGGAGTACGTTTCTAGTGTGTACTAAAGGAAATGAGAAAGTGGAAGTTAAAGATTAAAGTGCCGTGAGAATGCATTTGAATATTGTTTACAGTACAGAGGACAAATATGCATCAACGCAATTAGGAATAATTTAGTCCTTTCTTTTTCTTGTTTCCCTCTCTCTTTCATATGTTTACTCCCCTTTCTCAATATCCCAGCTAGGCGTATCGAATTCGACATGTTTCTGGTTAACCTTGCTACCTTCTACATTTCGTTTTCTTCCTTCCATGGCCCATAAACACTTAGAGTGTCGTGTTACTTGAGTGTGAAAATTATTTGTGAATTTTTTTTCGCATCGCGGGGCTTAATAAAACTGCGTGCAAGGAAATGTTTTAAATGGGAAGCATTTTTTGAGTACTGTAAGCACTTCTGCTATCTATCTATCTATCTATCTATCTATCTATCTATCTATCTATCTATCTATCTATCTATCTATCTATCTATCTATCTATCTATCTATCTATCTATCTATCTATCTATCTATCTATCTATCTATCTATCTATCTATCTATCTATCTATCTATCTATCTATCTATCTATCTATCTATCTATCTATCTATCTATCTATCTATCTATCTATCTATCTATCTATCTATCTATCTATCTATCTATCTATCTATCTATCTATCTATCTATCTATCTATCTATCTATCTATCTATCTATCTATTTACTTACGTCTGGGCGCTCTCATGGTCACCCCTATAACTTGGCATGAACCGAAATTAGTATGGAAGGGTAAGGTATTTTGAGGAATATGACACGCTGGTCAAGATATTAGGGAGCTTTAGAATACCGTTTGCAAGCGCTGCGGGCGTTGCGGGCGTAGAAGGTGCCATATGAGTTTTACAATAAATAGCGTTTGCCCTACGGCGATCCGCAACGCACAATCGCAGCGACACCTTAGCCTCGAAACCAGTGCTTGCGGGCTACATGCGGGCTGCCATCACCGCACACAATTTCGGATTTTTCGCGTGCGGTCCGCGAACGCGAACGCTGACTCGCGTTACGACGCATGCGCAGTAGCAGCGACCGCACCACAAGGGCTCGCGGTGCGCTATTCTAAATCTCCTTATTGTCACGGGGTCGTGACGGGGTTGAAGGCAGGAGACGGAATGGTCAGATCAAACTGTTTATTTGGGCGAACCTGTGCCCGCTAAATGGAAAGTCGGGTTACGGTAGCACACTTGCATTGATAGCAGTGAGTGCAGCGTCGGCTGTCGATCAACTGACAAGCGGCGAAGCGAGTCGGAATTTATACTCTTGCCATCGAATGTTCTAGCACTATCGCTAGCGGTGAGGTATGTTCCAGAATAATCTGTAGAGTTCGCAAAGTTGGCGTGATCTTATCGAAATGATCTACTACAGTCCTGAAGCTTCTCAAAAACTGCAGGCGCGGTTTGCGCTGAGAATTGTGTAATGTATCGGGGCGATAACAAAACTTGAGAAAAGGAAGGTGGCACTGCCTCCCTCTGAAAAAGACATCGTCCCGATGCTTTAATTCAAGATGAAGGTACAACAATAATGCAAGAGAGTACAAAGAATAAATTACGATACAGCAATAATACGAAAACACCGTTTCAGTTCGTTAACGCGAATAGAACGGCTTGAGGCGCGCGACATGGACGACTTCAGGTCGCGATCGGCGTCGTTGAGAGTACGTGATGCCCTCGGGTACAACCTCGTATTCGAGTCGGCCGAGACGTTGAACCACCCTGTACGGTCCGAAGTTTCGTCGCAGAAGATTTTCAATAAGTCCACGTTGGCGTATCGGCGTTCACACCCAAACACGTTCACCGGGCTGGTATTCCATGAAGCGTCGTCGAAGATTGTAACCACGGCTGTCGTTCGTCTGTTGGTTCTTGATACGGAGGCGCGCGAGGTGCTGGGTTTCTTCGGCGCACTGAAGCTACTCACTCACATCGAGGTTTTTTTTGTCGGTGACGTTGGGTAACATGACATCGAGCTTCGTTGCCGGGCTTCTTCCGTAGACCAATTTTTACGGAGATATCTGCGTCATCTCCTGCACCGCCGTGTGGTATGCGAAGATCACGTACGGAAGAATTGCGTCCCACGTCTTGTGTTCGACATTGACGCACAATGCCAGCATGTCGGCGATCGTCTTGTTTAGCTGCTCGGCGAGGTCATTGGTCTGTGGGTGGTACGCTGTCATCCGGCGGTGGTTTGTCTAGCTGTATGCCAAGATCGCTTGAGTTAGGTCAGCAGTAAATGCCGTTCCTCTGTCGGTGATGAGGACCTCCGGGGCGCCGTGACGTAGGACGATATTTTCGACGCAGAATTTAGCTACCTCGGATGCGCTGCCTTTGGGCAGGAAATTTGTCTCGGCGTAGCGGGTGAGGTAGTCGGTAGCTACCACGATCCACTTGTTTCCGAAAGCCGGCGGCGGGAACGGCCCCAATAGGTCTACACCAATATGCTGGAGTGGTCGGCGAGGTGGTTAAACTAGCTAAAGAAGTTCCGCTGGCTATGTCCGCGGTGTCTTGCGTCGCTGACAGTGCCGGCATGTCCTCACATAACGAGTGACGTCGGCGGTAAGACGGGCCCAGTAGTACCTTTCTTGTATCCTCGTGAGCGTGCGGGAAACACCGAGGTGCCCTGCCGTCGGATCGTCGTGCAGGACCTGCAGGGGCTCTGGTCGCAGAGCTGAGGGCACCAAAAGGACGTACTTGGATCGAAGAGGTGAGAAGTGTTTCTTTTGTAGAAGACCGTTTCGCAGGAAGACTGATACAAGTGCGCGCTTCAATACCTTCGGAACTTCGGCGGTCGTGCCTTCGAGGTATTATACTAGGGCCTTAAGTTCCGGGTCGGCCCGCTGTTGTTAAGCAAAGTCGTCAGCAGTTATCGTTCTCAATACCCAAAAAGTAGTCGTCATCTGGGTCATCAGGCGGTGGTTGGTCTACAGGCGCACGAGAGAGGCAGTCGGCGTCGGAGTGTTTTTTTTCGGACTTGTAAGCGACGGTAATGTCATATTCTTGAATCCTCAGGCTCCATCGTGCGAGGCGACCTGAAGGGTACTTCAAGGTAGCCAGCCAACACAAGGCGTGGGGGTCGCTCACAACTTTAAAGGGCCTGCCGTAGAGGCAGGGGTGGAATTTCGGCGTAGCCCAGATGATGGCGACGCACTCCTTTTCCATTGTGGAATAATCGGCTTCTGCTTTGGATAGCGATCGGCTGGCCTAACTAATAACCCTTTACAGTCCGCCAGCCCTCTGGACAAGAACGGTGCCGAGACCTAGGCTGCTTTTATCAGAGTGTATTTCTGTCTCGGCGAGTTCGTCTAAATGGGCAAGTAACGGAGGCGTTTGGAGGCGATGTTTAAGCTCCTGGAAAGCGTGTTCCTGTGGCGTTTTCCACTTGAACTCCACGTTGGCCTTAGTAAGGCTAGTGAGTGGTTCGGCGATGTGGGCGGAGTTTTTCACGAACCGCCTATAATAGGCGCACAGGCCCAGAAATCGGCGCACGGCCTTCTTGTCAGTGGGCGGCGGGAACTCGGCGATGGCGGCTGTTTTCCGCGAATAGGGACGAACTCCGGACTTGCTAATCACGTGCCCCAGAAACAAGAGCTCCTCGCACGTAAATCTGCACTTTTCTAGCCTCAGTGTGAGTCCGGATGTCTTGATGGCTTGAAGTACAGCTTCAAGGTGCCGAAGATGCTCGTCGAAACTCGAGGAAAACACGACGACATCGTTCAAGTACACAAGGCAAGTCTGCCACTTCAATACTGCCAGTACTGTATCCATAACGGGTTGAAAAGTGGGAGGTCCTGAGCAAAGACCGAAGGGCACCACCTTAAACTTGAAGAGCCCGTCCGGTATTATAAACGCCGTCTTCTCTCGGTCTCTTTCGATGACTTCGATTTGCCAATAGCCAGTCTTGAGGTACATTGACGAAAAGTACTTGGCGTTATGTAGCCGATCAAATGCGTCCTCTATTTCTGAGAGAGGATACACCTCCTCTCTTGTGATATTGTTCAGCTGGTGCTACTCGACGCAAAAACGTAGGGTTCTATCCTTTTTCTTCACTAACACGACGGGGGATGCCTGTGGACTCTTGGACGGCTGCATCATGTCATCCCGCAGCGTTTCATCTACTTGTCTCTTCATGGCCTTGCGTTATCGCTTCGAAACCGTGTACGGACTCTGACGGAGTGGTCTTGCATTTTCCTCGCGAGTGATGCGATGTTTCGTGATTGTGGTCTGCCAAATTTTCGATGACGACGAAAAGCAATCTTCGCTTAGCAGGAGCAGGGTCTTGACCTGTTCTTGCTTATGGTTTGGAAGGCTGGGAATGACGTCAAAAGCTGAGGGAGGGGCTTGGTTCTTTTGAGCAGGTTCCGCAGAATCGGCGAGGGTGAAAGCACTGGTGGCTTCCACAATTTCTTCGATGTATGCGACAATCGTTTCTTTGCTCACATGTTTGTACTCATTGCTGAAATTCGTGAGCATAACGGTTGCTTTACCTCCCCGCAGCGCTGCAATCCCTCTTGCGACACAAATATTGCGGGTGACCAATGGATGCTGACTGCCTTCAACGACGCCTTCCAAGTCAGGTGATTTAGGAGCGCCGACTGAAATAATGACGCTGGAGCGATGCGGAATCGTGACTTGTTCTTCCAGCACATTCAAGGCGTGGTTTCCTGACGGCGTGCGCGGCGGTAGTGCTTTTTCTGTGGATAACGTTGTCGACTTTGTTCTTAGGTTGATGACTGCACGATGGAGGCATAAGAAGTCCATACCGATGACGACATTTCTCCATAAACGCTTTAGGACTACGAAGTCTGCAGGATAAATACGGCCGTTAATGGTGACTCTCGCTGTGCAGATTGCTGCTGGCGTTACGAGATGACCTCCGGCTGTGCGGATTTCGGGGCCTTCCCAAGCTGTCATAACTTTCTTCTACTTCGCGGTGAACGACCCACTGATGACGGAATAGTCGGCTCCAGTATCGACGACAGCGGTCACACTGTGGCCGTCGATAAGAACGTCGAGGTCGCTAGTTCGCCGTCTCACGTTGCAGTTATAGGGCGTGGCGTCGGGTCACGGCTGCGTCGTTTTTTCCCGCTGCTCCCATGTTGTGTCGTCATGTCACCTTCGGTAAGTGAGGGTTCGTCGTCAGCACTTTGCCTGGTTGGCGTCGTGTTCGGAAAGCTCCGTCGTGGCGTCGTCGTCGTCTTAAGATATTCGGTAGTTCGTCGCACAGCAACCGCACTTTCATCGGCTGCTGCCCTTAGTTTCCCGGATACAAGCTAGGAGACCGGCCCCGCGTTGGCCCAATGTACTGCGGTTGGTGCGATGACTTGCGGCGGCTGGGCGACGGTGAACGGGAAGGACTTCGTGGTGTCCATTGGGTTCCTGTAAGGTAGTCGGTGATGTCACGTGGCCGTTCCCCTGGCTGCGGACGTGGTGCATTGACGGCGTCGGTACTGGCAATGGCGGTAGGTGTGCCCGGCCTCACCGCAGTGGTAGCAGAGTGGGCAGTTGTCAGGTGCATGCCACACGTCGGTTTTCTTCGGCGCACTGCGCTGGCCCGCTGTGGAATGGTAGAACGTCCGTAGGGGTGGTGGCGTCGGTGGCGTCTGGCGACGGAAGTGCGACGGGGTCGAGTTTTGGCGTGGACGGGGAGGAGTGTTTTGGCGCACTGCAGCGGCGTAGCTCATAGCTTCCGGCTCGGGCAGCGGTGCTCGGGGAGTTAGAAGCGATTACCGAACTTCTTGCACAATGTCGGTGATCAAATCCACTTGAGGCTGCGCCGAAGCCAACAGCTTGCGAAGCTCTTCCCGCACGATCGCTCGGATCGTTCCACGCAGGTCTTCGGAGTCAATGGCTTGAGCAGGAGCGCAGTCGGAATTCAGGCGACGATTATACTGTCTGATGCGCATGCCCAAGGTCTTTTCGATAGTGGTCGCCTCCGATACGAATTTTTGGACGGTGTTCGGTAGATTCCTCATCAGCCCCTCGAAGAGCTCCTGTTTGACCCTTCTCTTGAGCAAACGAACTTTCTTCTCCTCAGGAATGTCCAAGTAAGCGTGACGGAATAGGCTGGTCATTTCTTCTGTGAAAACTGTGACATTTTCATTTGGTAGCTGAACCCGGGTCTCTAGTAAAGCAGCGGCCCTCTTCTTGCGAGCGAGGATCACGAACGTTTGCAGGAATGCGCCGCAGAAGACATCCCACGTTTGAAGCGCAGACTCCCGATTTTCGAGCCAGGTCCTTGCGGTGTCTTACATGTAGAAGTACACACGACGGAGCTGTTCTTCGGTGTCCCAGTGGTTGAGGGCGGCCACGATGTCGTATGTCTCTAGCCAGGTCTCCGGGTCTTCGAACGATACCCACGGGAAGTTGGTGGTTCCCTGGGTTGAAGCATGATGATCGTGGGCTGGGACGTTGCGGTCATCATTATCACCGCAGTAGAGGTTATAACCTTGATCTTCCGCGCCTTGTCTTGTAGAGGCCCGTACTCCGGTGGTAGACCTTGCTGTCTGCGGCTTGTTTGGAGCTCCTAGTTGGTGTCGGTGTCTTCTCCGCGACGTGGGCTGGGTTCAGGGCTTGACGGGGGTGTCTGGTACATGAACGAAGCAGCACCTCCACCAGATGTCACGGGGTCGTGACGGGGTTCAAGGCAGGAGACGGAATGGTCAGATCAAACTGTTTATTTGGGCGAACCTGTGCCCGCTAAACGGAAAGGCGGGTTACGGTAGCACACTTGCATTGATAGCAATGAGTGCAGCGTCGGCTGTCGATCAACTGACAAGCAACGAAGCGCGTCGGAATTTGTACACTTGCTATCGAATGTTCTAGCGCTATCGCTAGCGGTGAGGTATGTTCCAGAATAATCTGTACAGTTCGCGGAGTTGGCGTGATCTTATCAAAACGATCTACTACAGTCCTGAAGCTTCTCGAAAACTGCAGGCGCGGTTTGCACTGAGAATTGTTTAGTGTATTGGGGCGATAACGAAACTTGAGAAAAGGAACTTAGCAATATGAAAAAAATATCACAGAATATCTCTGCAGTAAATGATGATCAGTGGGGCGAAGCGTCCGCCAGCGGATATGTGCCACTGGTATATGGGTATGTACCACAGGGGATTGACACTCAGAAACGACGAGAGCACACATGGGCAATTTTAACTCGTGAGCATTAAAAAAAAACTGATATCGGCAGCGCTGACCCGACAAATGCAAAGAATAAATGAGTGTCCCAGCTTGAATCGAACGCAAGCATCATTTTGCGCGGCAATCAAGCTCTCTACCACAAAGCCAGGTCTCGGTTGTAGTGTTCAAATATACCCTAATGTTCGTGAAACGTCGATTTTGGTTGCCGTGTTGGCTATCTAATTTTTAAACTTTACATTTGTACTCTTACAATACAGCCATGCTGTTGGGTTAATGTCCAATATAGTTAGGCGCCGTTGTAGTGGCGTTCAGGGCTGCCATCCCCGCGAGGACCAGCGCTTTATATTAGCTAATCGCTTCTGGTGTTGCTAATACTCTTGTTCCTGTTGCCTAACTGAGTAAGTGCAAACAACTTTGAATAAACATCTGCAACTATTCAATATATGTCTGTGCGTGCAACATTTGCACGTATATTTAGCGTCATTTCATGATGTGTCGCTACGTATAAAAATTACAACATGGTCACTTTTTCTCCTCATGCTTCGCATAACGTCGATACCAAGGTACGTGGGACCTGCCGAATTTTTTGTAAGTTATCGCGTGAAACAGCCACTTAATTACGGTACTATGCACATCACCAATTGAGCGACAAAGTTGCTGCTTTTTTAAGCATAGTAACCCTCAACCGAGTATTCTGAGCACAGTTCAAGCCTCGCGAACAAACTGTTCAGTTATTCCTAATGCTCACTTTGTTCTTGCAATGAACTATGTTTCAGACTGCGTCTCGCACTGACAGAATCAATTTAATGCTCTAAAGACTGCAAGAGAAAAAATGAACTTATCTGTAGCATTTGATAGACCAGATCATTCGCGAATGAAATGCTGTGCTGTGCTCTAACCAACTCGTCCACCGCACAGACTACGCAGCACCGCACAAGAACATTTTGGCCTTGAATTCTGCGGTGGTACGTAGGCTCCAATTGGACACATACATAATCAAATGCAGGATTCATGCGTACCACTGCACAACGCACGAACACATATGCCCGTGGTGTAGAAGGCAACCGACGCTCTACTAAATCACAAGGTTCCCACACAGAACAGCAAGAAGGGGATAATATAGCAGATTGAGGTGGGAGGCATTGCGGTCCAGCCCTGCCCTTGGGGACTCGCTATAAGGCCAAGCAGGTGTGGCGTTGCTCGGTTTGAGCAGCAACATAGTCTTTTGCACAAATAAAACTTTGTTCTTCTATTTTTGAATGATTTGCAGAATGTTCGATGCTTTATTAGAATAGCATTTGGGCACTGGCAGAGACGTGATGACCTCAGTCTTAAAAGATATACAATTAGCAAACATGGGCCAGTTTTTTCTTATTTCTGCGTTTCTTGTCCTTATTCTGCTCACATTCTCTCTCTTTTTTTTGCAGGAGAAGCGTCTGTAGAAAATGAGACCGCATTGGCTAAACGTTTTAGCCGCATCCCTTGGTCATCACTTGTGCAGTGATTTTGTTCTGTGGATAAATTAAACAAAAATATTGGGGCGAAAAGCCAGCTCTTGTGATTCAAGACACTTTGCGACGTTTTGCGAGACCAGACAAGACTGTACGAGAACTGCTGAGACACTGCGACATTCGGAAACAGATAAATACATCGCTATGCCTAAAGGAAACGTTGCAGAACTCTGTCAATGGCGTCATGTAGCAAGACGAGCAATATTCTATTAGGCCTATATTTTACTCGGCAGTTTTCTCATTGGCGGGTTTCTCGTTTCTTAAGTGCGTCTTTATGTGTTCTTCTGTGCGCTGCTTCTTTAAAAATTATGGCTCACTGTCTTGCTTATCAGTACGTACTAAACATGTGTCTGATGGTTGATTAATTCCTGTAGTGACCCATCTAGCGTTGATAGCACAGACAAATAAACAAACAAGCAAGAAAAAAAAACAATAAATGTTTCGACATGTTCAGGTGAAGCAATAAATAAATAAATAAATAAATAAATGAATCAATCAATCAATGAATCAATCTGCAAATCAGTCAGTCAATAAATAAATAAATTCATCGATCAGTGCAATAAATCAAGCTATAACCCTCTAATGTTGAGTTTGTTATATCCCGAACTCCGATTAATGGCTGAAAGCTTCGTGTAATCTCTGGAAACTAATGTATATCGGTAATACATTTATATACTTTGAAGTACTAGTGTACTGGTTCGTACAGTTAAATTTTTAAAATAATTTGGCGTGGTGTTATAATAAAAAAAGGGAGTTTAGTTGCTGCAAGCACACCCTGTAGGTGAGAAAAAAAACGTTATGCATGTTTTAGTTTGAAGCTGCGTTCGTTCCTTACAAGTTTAATTAGGCCATCGTTTTTTTATCCACGTCGAGTGTGAGTTTTCATAGCAAATACCCACAATTAATTACTTGAGTCTTACTTGAGTTCCATGACTCTGCACAATTCCGTTCCGATAAACTCGGGAAAAGACACTGTCGTTCAGGTTCGCGGCAACTACATGCTAATTTCAGAAAAGGGCTTGGTGCTGTCGCCCAGCAACAGCCGTTGCACACATAAAAATGAAGAAAAAGAAAAGATGCTTCATTTGTGAGAGACGCGACAAATAAAGCTATACATAAATGTGCATAGCTATAGGTGTGCATAGTAAATGCTTGCGACCGACTGTGACGGCTACAATCAGGGACTTTTCATTGAAATACTTCCTATAAAAACAAGTGCCAGAATTCAGGGAAGCGGGGGAGAGGGCAAGATAACAAAGAGGGGTCGTCAGAGGAACACTGCATCTGTCCACTAGAGCCCCGATTCCGAATTGAGAACGTAAGGCGTTCTGTTTAGTTTTTTTTTTGGAAAACCTGGACCTCCCCCCTTCAGACCGTCACCACTTCCACGCATCTCCTTCTCGCCTACTGCTGAAATATTCACGAGTTCCGAAGCTCCAGCTAGACAAGCGAGAGAATCAATCATCATTCACACGTTCCTTTCAGCAGCGATGTCGATGGCTGCATGACGCAAGGTTTCTTTTCTTTTCATTTCTTTTTGTTTGCGTACGCCATCGCGCTCTTCGGCAGCACCGGGTGAAACAAATGAACACAGATTGAGTTGAGTAAAACGTTGCTGCAATCGTTCTTCCCGCTGTTATCTCTATGTTTTCCCACTTGAATGCTCAATTATAATTTCCTGCTGTAAATGAAAAAAAAGGGAGTGCCCCTACAGCACATGCGAAGAAGCAAACACAATTTAGGGCCCCTTTTGTGAGAATAAGCGAAGAAAGAAGACCAGCGATGCTGTTTGATTTGTTTAAGTATGCTAAACTTTTTGTCGTGGCAGGCTGCGATCTCCACGACGGACCTGGTCGACCAGCGCCAATTCGTCGTACGTGCCCGTAGTGGGGGTCCAGGTTAGAGAGTTCCTGGAATGAAGGAACCCTCCAACCTTGAGTAACTTGCCATTCTTCAGCTGGTTGTTTTCCCTCGCACTCTCTCGTTCATGGCATAGCCAAGCGTTGCTATAGCAAAGTCATCATTTGCTTCTTGATACCATATATGGCTGTTGGCGGCGCTCCCGCGATCTGGGGAAACGCATATAGGGTCTCCCATAAATACACTAGAGCGAACTCTGGCGCTAGTGTCTATGGGAGCTGCAACGCACGACACTTCTTTGAGCATGGAAATGATGGGTAGTACAAACGTTTGTCTAATCTTCGTAGTTTCAGCTCCATTTAGTTTTGTGTGGCTCGGAGCTGCCCTATCACGGAACTAAAATCAGCAAATGTAACGCTGCGTCACCTCACTATCATAACGTATTTATGCTCACCAATTGAAGCTGGGACACGAAGTTGACGACGGTCCGTTCTTTTACTCGAGATAAATCTAAAACACACCAATAATCAAAGCCAAAAGTGCGTTTGTAGCCAGCTAGCACGAAGACTAGGCAAACTTTCAATCAAAAAATCTTTTATTTTCACCATTTCATACAAAGGTGAAAAAGGAAGAACTGGAGAAACAGCCGATAGTTCTTCGGCTTGACAAAGCATCGGTCCCCCAGACAGACAGTGGTGAAGTTCGTTTCAAAACAATAGAAGAAAGCATGTTACAAAGTATAAAGCATTAAAGCAATATTAAGATTTCATCTGAATATAAAATAAACATTGCGATGAAGGAAGAGAAATGTATAAATTAAAAATAACTATACAGCATTTACAAAGTACAACCGAGAAACACTTTTTTTATAACATAGAAAACACTGTAACAGCAGCATGCTATCAACAACCGGTAGGATTTTTTTGTAATCCTATGTTAATGAGCCCTTACAGGAACAGGTCCAACATTTTAGTTTTGTTTAGCGTAACACATCAACACTTTGTCTGTTGAAATGATTAAGTAGGGAAGGTAGTGTATAACAAAGCGCTGTTGTCCATAATTTGTACGAGAAAAAGGAATTTGCCATGGGGCCTGATGGCGAAAGGAATATGTACTTTTGTTTTCTTGTAGATCAGCGAGGGTTAAAACTGAATCAAGTATTCCTAGCTTAGCAATCTTGTAGCATTGTAGAGTTTTCAGTTTCCGAATATCACCAGCAAATACCAATAACCTTCCGCACTTTCGCACAAACATTGCCAACATGAGCATTCCAGGACAGGTATGCTCAGCGAATATAACTCCGAGTGTTTTCATAGAGGACGTAAGGGTAATCTGATAAGGACCCAGAACAATGTTATCTGGTAATGTAGTGGAACTTCCTTGGGCACGAAAAATGACACAGTTTGTTTTGGCTTCATTAAGAATCAAGCAGTTTGCCTTTCACCAGCGTTGAATTTTGTTACAGACAGTGCAAGCTATAGGCATTATTAGATGCGGAAGCATCTTATACTCGCGCCTTGTAGTGCGCCGTCCGCACCGCTTCTCGAACATTCGACAGCTGACGCGCGCGCATGCGCCGTCGCCCACTCTTCCACCATCTGTGCATCCCTTCCTCCTCTACACACCGCGCGCGCTTCACTCCTCCACCATCTGTGCACCCTTCCTCCTCTACACACCGCGTTCGACATCTACAATTCTCCTGATTCTCCAGTGGACGCGCATGTGGCGTCGCGCTTCGAGAACATTCAACAGCTGACAGTGCATGCGCCGTCGCGCTGCATATATACTCAAGGTCGGCGCTCGCTCGCTCAGTTGCCGCTCGTCGGTTGGTTTGTACGGCGCGTCGACGTCCAAGGTCGCGGTGAAATGAATTCCAACGAATCCACAATGATCGACGTCCCTTCGACCAGCGCCGCCCTTTCGCATACGTGTGTACGTGTTCACTCATTTAACACCCCCTCCTACAACCACGTTAACCAATTTAGCCATCGACCCAAGTAAGTCGCAATTTAACACCCCATTTCACAACCACGTTAACCAATTTAGCCATCGACCCAAGTAAGTCGCACTTTAACACCCCGTTAACCAATTATATGCTCCGCATCCTCCTCAGTGTTCCCCCGAGGGAAGCTGCGGGCAATTTTTTTCTTCTAAGTCTTGTGCACTACCCGCCATTACTGTGGTGGCTGAACGATCGCAGCACCTGAGTCCCCTCCAAGGAGGATTAAAGAAAAATTGCTGGAGTGGAAGCTCCCGCAATGCCTTGCCAGCAGACGTGAAGCCAGCTTTTGCCACTGCCAAGATGGCGGAAACATGCTCTTTTCTGATGATGCCCACTTAAAGATCAAGTGGCTTTGATATGTTGTGTAAATGCTATGTTAGGTATATATTAAAGGATAGTTGTTCCCTACGAAATAACACACAGAAACACACAGTATGGATGACTGAATATTCAAAGAACTTTGCCTCCAATCAGAGGCTCATTAAGGAAAACTAGTAACTGTAAGACGCACTTCGAGCACTATATGACCCGAAAAAGTTCCCACATTAAACTTGTTGGGCGTGCGAGAGAAACGCTTCGTTTTTAATCGCTAATTGGTGATAGTTTATTGTGCCCCTAGTAAGATGGCCGTCACAGCCGCCATCTTTCTAGAGGAACGGCTTCACTTCTGCGAAATCATTTCCACTCCAGCAATTTTTTTTTAAACCTCCTTGGTCCCCTCTAGTTCATTTCAGAAAAGTCTACGGGGACATCAACGTAAGTAGCGCCGATACCAGCCTTTTCTCGAAGTCATTTGTTTTTCATAAGTGGTGATTACGGCGGCGTAAACGTAGCCATCAGTAGTGTAAGGGCCGGTTCACGCTAATGGCGAGCCTGCCGTAACGGCGCAGTGCCGTAGACCGTCAGCCCCCGCCGCCGTCCGTGAGAGAGCTATATTCTAAGTGCACGGCAAGCTTCGCCGGCAAGGCATTCCAGCGTCCGACTTCCTTCCGAATGCAGTTATCGACCACCTCGAATCTATCAACCGGCCGTCGTGAGCTCTGTAGCTCGTAAGCTCCGAAACGATGCTTCCATTCGCTTTGTACTCACGTCCTTTAGCTTCGACAACACAGTACTCGAATCAATTTTGCACCGTTTCTGAGAGCCATAGTCAAATAATTGATGTTGTAGGTTTAAGAAAGCCTTGCCAAATCTCGCAGGGCATGAATTTCACGTTTGTTAGGTGTTGCTAATCCTAGATTGATTGATATGTGGGGTTTAACGTCCCAAAACCAGCATATGATTATGAGAGACGTCGTAGTGGAGGGCTCCGGAAATTTCGGCCACCTGGGGTTCTTTAACGTGCACCCAAATCTGAGCACACAAGCCTACATTTCGGCCTCCATCAGC